CCACATATTAACAACAACATCAACAAAAATGTTCAAAAGTCTTTAACTCTTTACATAAGGCATGAAGTAGTATAAAATATATAAAAAATGTATTGGAAATGTATATATGCAAATTAAAGCACATCAGATGATAGTCAACAAAAAAAGGGAAGAGAATAAATTGCTACAGATAAATTAACAAAATATATAAAAATAATCAAATCCACTGCTGTCGAGTCTGACTCATAGTGACCCTATAGCACAGAGTAGAAGTGCTCCATAGAGTTTCCAAGGCTCTAATCTTTATGGAAGCAGACTGCCACATCTTTCTCATATGGAATGGCTGGTGGGTTTGAATTGCTGACCTTTGGGTTGGCAGCCAAGTGCTTTAACGACTGTGCCACCAAGGGTTCTCTATCTAAATATAAACTCCAAGCTCATTACCATCAAGTCGATTCTGACTCAGCAAAATCCACTGGGTTTCCAAGGCTGTAAATCTTTATGGAAGCAAACTGCCTCATCTTTCTTCTGCAGAGCAGCTGATGGGTTCGAACCACTGACCTTTCAGCTAACAGCCAAATGCCTTAACCACTACACCACCAGAGCTCCTTCTATCAAAATATAGAGCTTTTTAAATATCTAGATGTACAGAACAATTTTATGGTAAAGTCAATACAATAATTGTTTGGTTTTAAACAGAAATATATGTCTGAATACATCAAAACAAATCCAATTTTACATCATTTTTATATAGTATTTGCAAATTCTGTTAATACATATAACTAATGAATGGAAATAATTATATACTTTATAAGGATTTAGATTTTATAATCTCTACTACTAGACATCTAAAAATGAAGTTATACAACATAAAAAATCTTGTTTTATTATTTTGCTAGAAGACGTGTATGTCTAAAAATGTAAATGGAAAAAAAATCCTTCACAGCAATTCAGATGTTAACATTTGTAAAATATCAGAAGAGGCTGGCATCTTCCATATTCTCCCTGTCTTAACTTAAATACATACCTGACTCTTTGACACGCTCTTCTGGATCTTCAGAAACTATTAACTGCATAAAGCACTTTCTTCTGAGGGACTTTTCTACAGCTGCTATCTAAAAAGTTAAAAACAAAATGGCAAGTAACAACAAAGAAATCTTTTTCTTTTTCTTTTTTGTAAACTATTGCATTAAGTTAGAAAGCTAGAAATAAATTTATAAAGGTTTAATTATTTTTTAAAACAGTCCATATAATAGCCATAAAACACTAACATTTTTCCTATAAAAATTTTTAAAGAAACAATCTCTTACCTTATGTTTGGATAAAAGAGGGCTGTAGAAAAAGGGAGGAAAAAAAAGAATTAAAAAAAAAGTTATAGCAGCAATATGCTTCCAAACAAATGTCACTGAAATGGCTTTAAAAAAGAAAAAAAAAAAAACTTCTCTGGATTCTAATATTAGCACAGAACATTTCCACTGCTGAAACATTACCACTGGTTTACACAGCTCAAAGGGTGGCTATATCATGTGTTAATTTCCTTAGCTAGCCAATTACTATTGAAAACCCCCAGAGAAACTCCAAATGCTAAAATCCAGACAAATAAAACAATGCTAACCTTCTGTTCATAATGTATCTATAAAATATTTTTTATATATTATTTTTTCATTTAAATGTATGTCATTATAGTCTAAAATAGATTATGGTGAGAGATAATTTTATTAGAATTAATCATGCAAACAGGTAACGAAAAAGATAATTTTTAAGTAATTAATTTTAGAGAATACTCAAGGCAGCAGAATGCATACATCCACCTAAAGGCATGCAAAAAAATGCTCAGCCACTTTGATCAAATACTGAAAAACTGGACACAACCTAAATATACATTAATAACAGACTGAATAAACTTCTGTATATCATATGATGAATCTACACAGCAATAAAACAGAACTATGGTTACATGCAACAACATGTAACACAAACACAATATGAAATAAAAATCTACATGCTGTGTGATTCCATGTATATGAAATTACATAACAGACAAATATATTGTTACAGAACTCAGAGCATGGTTACCTTGGAAGGTGGGTACTGACTTGGTACATGAATGAGAGCCTCTGGAAAGGCTAGAAATGTTCTGTATCTTGATCAGAATGGCAGTTACACACACACACATACACACACACATGTATGTGTAAAACTTCACCAAGTTTGCTCATTTTATTGTACGTATGTTTTAACGTAAAAATATATTTTCTTTAAATATATTTTTGTTGTTGCAATACACACAACAGAACACAAACCAATTTAACAATTTCTACATATACAATTCTAAAAAATATTTTTAAATATTGAAAAAAGTTTGCCATAATTTGTAGGAATTATCTAAATTTTAAAGCCTAAAAATGCCATGTGCATATTATCTTGAATAAATATTTGTTTATCGAATGAGAAAAACATTTGTAACACATTAATAAGCTATTAGTTCCATGGGGGTGGTAGTGTCTAATATTGAGCGTTTTGAAATTAAGAAAATTACGTTTATTCATTTTAAAAGATGCCATTATTCTAAAACTCTAAGGTTGAAACACAACCTATTTAATATGTAAAAAATCACTATTTTAAATAACAAGCTTTCACAGATTATTTCAAAATCTGTTTAAAGTTTTAAGTTATAATTCAGAACCCCTGGTAATATTGCTTCCAAGTTTCAAACTGATTAAGAAATTCGTCATCATAAAAGTTGAATGAGAATCCATCTCTGAACACACATTCTTCAAAGGCTGGTCTCCAGAACAACCAGATCCAAAAGCAAGTTCTATATCTGCTGCATGACCTAAGCAATAATTACTTGGCACTGTTTCATTATTGACAAATAGAGCTTTAGCTTACTTTTTCTGATTCTGAGACAAAAGAAGAAAAATTTATCAATAGAATGGGAAGTTTTTCAGCTTCTGTGTCAAGGATTCATGTTCTAACTTCTACAAATCTGAACTAGTTTAATCACAATCATGCTTCCTTACCTTCAAAACTGTGGGTCAGCAAATAAAGATTTTTTTTAAAAAAATGACTAAAATGCTATATTATTTCTATAATTTAGTTTTAAAAATATAATTCAATAAAAGACAATTTAAAATTATCTGGTAAATGTACTTTTACTTTTGCAGCATTCTGGATAAGCATTATATTTCATTATATTTGCTGTCCAGCATTAAACTACCACTAAAAATGCTGTTTGTACTACAACTTACAAACACTGGCAAGCCAAATTGAATAAATTATCCTAATACATAACTTGCTTTTGTTGTTGTTAAGTGCCCTGGAGTCAGACCCGATTCATAGTGACCCCTCCTTGGGTTTCCGAGGTGGAAAGGTTTCCAACCTTCCTTCTGAGGAGTGGCTAGTGGGTTTGAATGGCCAGCCTTCTGGTTAGCAGTCAAGTGCCTTAGGCACTATGCTATCAGAGCTCCTAATATGTAATTTAGTTGATCTAAATTGCCTCATCTTTTAACCAAAAAGAGATAAAAATTAGAAGAGTTGTACTTTAAAATGTCTAATCAGAAGGGTTCTTTGAGCCTATGTAAAACTGACCTTTTACTGAGTTGAGAGTAAAAAATGTGATAAAAGCCTAGTATTTTATTCTAACTCTAACTGAAAACATTATTTAGTAATGAAATGAACCTTGCATTTCAAATACTACACGCTAACAATGCTGGTTCTTTTTTTGTTTTTTAAATTTTTATTGTGATTGGGGTGAAAGTTTACAGAGCAAATTTATTTTCTATACAGCAGTTCACAGAAACAATGCTTCTTCAATATTTTACCCCTCCTCATTCTAATGAAATGCTGATATACTTACTCTTGATGTGTTGTGCAAAATTCAGTAAGCCATTCAAAATCTTCAGCATTAAATCCTTTTTCTGAATTCCTCTGAGACGTAACTGTATGCAGTTGTACAGTTTTCCACTTTGTTTCTAAATTCAAAACATTTATTAGTCACTGGCTCTTACAAAACATATTTAGGAAGGAAAAAATAGTTGAGTGGCACCACTCATAAAGATTATTATACACAATTATCCTCTCAAACAACCCAAAAGTTAACACTGAAATAGCTAAGTGATTACTTTTTGAAATTAATATCCCAGAGACTAAATTAGCCAGTAGGGCATGCAAATTGATCAGAAAAAATGAAAATAACTACAAGCATTCTTTTATTTTCATTAACATTAGGAAAAAAATCTCACAATAACAGTATTGTGGTAATGTTTCTTTGTAACTAACTGTGGAAACATCTCCTTCTTAACTTACAAAATAGGTCAAGTATGTTAACATTCTAGATAGCAACTTGTTAGATTACTGATAATGCCACAGTGTACATTAGTTTGTACTCACCCCACTGTTCTTGAATGGCAGAGAGATTTGCAAGCAATTGCTCATGATATAATCGTTCAAGCTGAATGAATTTCATGGCTTTCTCATCTGAATAGGAAATTTGAGGAAAACAGAAATCCAGACTTTTTACATTTTAGCCCCATATCTCAAGAGGAATGTTCTATTAAGAAAGTTGCAGCTTGCCAGAAAAATGAGAGGACTCTAAATATTTTTAAATTTAAACATATGTAAAGTAATGCTTCTTGGCTTTGAAGTAAGTATATTTTAATACAGCATAACATGTAGTAGCTATTGGGTTCTACCATCATTAAACAGTAGATACTAAAAGAAGGTTTTCATCCTCAAGGAATGTCTGTTGTTGTTGTTGTTGTTGTTGTGTGCAGTTGAGTTGGCCCTGACTCATAGCGACCCCTCCTTGGGTTGCTGAGGCAGTATCACTACGGTAGCAGATTGCCCAACCTTCCTTCCGAGCAAGGAATGCCTACTAGCTAATATAATTCTAGCAGGGTCAATTAAAAGTAATTTACTCGGAATCACGGAGTTTAAGTGCTTCTTTTTTCATTTCTCTCCTTAAGTTACCTTTTGCTGAGCAACTGTTACCTCCAGTCAAGTGTTTGTTTCCAGGTTCAAATCACCTTGATCCAGTAATTTATTTATTTATTTCCCACAAGACCAAAGAATCAAATGTCTAAACAATGACAAAGCAAAATATTACATGGATCTTTTGACAAAACTTAGTTAACTTGCCATAATTTTTATAATTGTCATGTAAATCCACTTTTTTTCTAGATAAGCTTGTTAACTTCTGTCTTATCTGTGGCATATCTACTTGTATTTTACCAGGATGTGACAAACTGTTCAACTGCCTACCTGCCCTTGAGCAGTGTTCTAAAAGTTGATTGAGAAAGAAGGATGAGAAAAACTCACTGCTTAGGCTTTTTCTCCTTCCCATGATCAGTCAGGTTCAGTTCTCTTTCTGCTTTGTTGTCTTAAAGATATTCCAAGGATCATAAGAAGGGCCAGCAAGAAACAGGGATGATTGCCTTTTCCTTTGCCAGTGACATAAAGTATACCAACCAGCAGTTCTCAAATTTTATCTGAAAAACTTGTTCAAGTACAGATTCCTGGGTCTGATTCCCAGAAATTCTGATTTGTCTGGGGTGGGACTCATGGATTTGCATTTCTAACATGTTCCCAAGGAAGCTGATACTGCTGGTCTGTAGTAGGTTTCTAACATATTAAGTAATAAACTGCCATTATGTGAGGGTATCGGACAGTTTTCTTGCAGGGTTCAGAACAGTCACTGCTTACCCCTCCCAACTCTCTGGTCAGAGATGTGGGGGAAAGTCAACAAGGTTAGGAGGAGAAGCAAACCACTATAGGGAAAATAGGTGCTGATAACACATTATTTCCATAGAGTATAAACTTGGCTATCTCCCTTCCCCGCAGAAAAGTGAGGGAAGTCTTCCCCCAACAAAAGTTAACATCACTTGACACATTTAGACTGATTAGTAATAGAGAAGAAGTCAATATTCCTTTTGCAGGTACATAGCTGTTATAAGACAATCATAGATTTACTATGTGTAATACACTTGACATGAATATTACTTGATTTGTCCTTCTGTTTAATTTAAAAGAAAGAAAATGCAATAGGTATTTTACTTTTGTTTTATTTTCAGCAGCACATGCCTTCTCCAAGGAGCTCTGGTGGAGTAGTGCCTACTGACTGCTAACCAGAAGGCTGGAGGGGCAATCTATTTCTGTAGTGATACCGCCTCGGAAACCCAAGGAGGGGTCGCTATGAGTCGGATCAACTTTGGTTTTGTTTTTTTTTTTGGTGCCTTCTTCTCCTGCTCCCTGCCCCTCCCCACCAAAAAATTACAGCTTTTTTTTTTTTTTTTTTTTTTTTAATGGAAGGTCAAATTTGGGCAGGTCTAGGGAATTTTCTGGAACAGAAATTTCCTACATCTTGTTTTGAGTGGTGGTTGCATGCGTGGGTATAACTATCAAAACCCATGGAATCCTTATGATCTGTACATTTTATTATATGCAAAGTATACATCAAGTAAAAAAAAAAAAAGATAGTTTCCTTCGAGTTCTATTAATTTCTTGTTGAATTAAGAAAAGGATACAGTCTTCCTCCTGGAAATATGATTCTGCTATCTGTTAAAAACAAACAAAACCAAAGGAAAATTCAATTAACATTTGGATGAAAAGACATTTGAAAGAAATCAGGACCTTGAAATCCTGAAAGTTTTTAATATCAAAACTATGAAAACTCTTAACTATGTTACTACTTCAAAACAAATGTGACTATAACAGGACATAATTCTGAAACCACTTATCTCAAGCAAGACAAATGTAGACATTCTATTGCAAGTCAAAGCAAACACCACTGACTCATTAGAGTTTAGAAGTAAGAGCTCTACAGAATGAGGAAAATGAGACAGAGGCTTATACAGGTGTAACACAAGTGAAAAAATGACTTCATTATAAATTCAAAAGCTGAAATATGTTACATCGCATGAGACCTTAAAACCATTCATTCTTATTTTATTACTCTCTATTTACTCACTTTATTTCTATTTATCCACTTTCATTTCTACTTAATTACTTGCTAGAGACCTCATGGGATATATTGACTTTTTGGTTCTGTTTTAATATTTAAGAAAAAGTCAGCCAACTGTTGAGTGATGACGTGTGGAACATGAACAAAGTCATAAATGTCACACACTCTAACACACACTAGATGAGAAGTCCAGGGACGCAGGATCGGGTACCAGTCGAGGCTTGTCACTTAACCAGATTAACTCTAAGGCACCTTCAGATTGAAGAATCCCTTGGTTCTAAATAGTTTGGGAACTTTTATTTAGATATAACGTTTCTGAATGGGCCAGCAAAACTAAAAGTATTCACTGAAAAATATTTGTATATACTGACTGTTGTCATATTTAGATATTTCACTTTACATTTTAAAACAGTTCCCATTGATTGTTACTAGATCTTTAATGAATATTTATATTCCATTTATAGACCACTGTTGCCATTTTCCAGGAAGCTGCCAATGCAAAGACCAATAAACAATAAAGTACTTGTTGAACTTACAAACTAGCAATAAAAAGGAAACAATAAAGTATCATAGGAATGTTTTTTTTCCAAATCCCTCATGTTGGTAGAGACAGTATCCTTTAAGGGAAAATATTTGCATAGCTTAAGATACATTCTATAGATTGAACATATTTCTCTATACACAATATAGATGACTGGGCTCAATCACTTCTCTGTAAATTTTCAGTTTAATCTAAAATTTGATTCCACTTATTTTGCATCCTGAGGACTTTGCAAGGGGGAAATTAATTGTCAAGATTCTATTTTTCTTTTAACAGCTCATTGATGTAATAATGTTATAATAGTATTAATTTGAACCAAATCAACTTGCTAATATTCAATCCCATTTTTTTTTTTTTAGCCTATAAAAGAAGAATTTCATATGGTTCAGCCAATGGTATGTTAATGAATGTTTTAACAGTCAGCTCTGGGGAAAGACTTAATATGTAGTGTTTACTCACTTTTACAGTGTCAATACTCCCATCAGGGCCAGTGTCAAGCTCCCACATGCTCATCATCATTGAACACACCCCTCAAGAGCCAGAACTGCAGGTTCCAGCACATCACTAGGTTCTACCTAATGAAAAATCAATGACAACTTTCTATCTATGAATTTCCAGTGAAAAAACTATGGCCATGCACAGTGTTTCCCTTGTATACATGGGTTGAGATATAGTTCAAGGTTGTCCATTAAAATAAAATATCTGCTTCTTCAAAGCTATTTTACTTGCCTTTTTGCAAACATGCATCAATGACACCCTTATTTATAGAGTTTTCATTTAAGATGTCTTACTAGGATCTACGTCTATTATGTAGCAGAGTTCCTGGCCGTACAGAGACAGAACTTTAAATTAGCATTCAGGTTTCTGTGGCAGTTCCAATAACATAAAGCCCAATATCTCAAAAGTAAAAGGTGTTTCCAGGTTAAAGGGTAACTTGAAAAATAAATATAGAATATTTCCTATAAAAACCAACCCCTAACAAGTGCAACAGGGCAAAAGAAGATGTGTTTTTCGTTTGTTTGTTTTTCTGATGTCCCAAATGCCTAAAACTGAGAGGCACTTTGGTTGAGCAGAAAGAATGTGGGGTTTGGAGATAAGTGACCTATGTTCTAGTACAAGCTCTGCCACTTTCTGGCCATGTGATCTTGGATTTATCATTTCACCTTCTCAAGGCTCAGTTTCCTTATCTGTAAAACAGGGACAACACCTACAACTGCATGAGGCAAGGCTGTTGAAAAGCTGTTACCTAGCATAGTACACATAGTAGTAAGTGCTCGAAACAGTATGAATTAAAGTCTGACCCAGAAGTGCAAGATGTAGAGTAGAATTGTGTAACGAAGGAAGCTGAAAACGAGCATGGGAAGGCAATGGATTTAAAGTTACCCTCGTTTTGGGTTTTTTTTTATTCACAAGGAAAAAAAGGATAATGTCTTTTGGTCATATTCTCATAGAGTGGCTTCAAGAATCAGTGAATCCATTTCTTGCCTGAGTCAGACAACAGTTTCAGTATCCCATATGAAAAGCCAACAAGTGTATGACTTCGCTAGTAATTCATAGCTTAAAGATATCCTGCACTCATATTAAATAAATTAAAGTGTGAAAGATTACTCATAACTAAGAAGGATTTTTAAGTGGAATCTTACAAATTTCTAAAAGCTAACAATATATGTATATAACCAAAGTAACTGCAGTCATATTTCCAGTGGACATCAGCACATATTTATCAATAGAATATCATTTTAAAAATTGTAACTTTCCCCAAATTAATTTTCCCTCTCTAATCCCTTCTCTCTGCCAATGGCACTACCATTATACCAAAGTAGATCTCCTAGAATCATCTCTGACTTCTCCTTCCCCACTTCCTGCAATCTAATCCTAGAGATTCTTCTTGTTGCAGATGTCATATTCAGCGCTCTCCATGTCCACTCTTACCACTTAACCAAGATGCTTTTCTTACCTGATACTGGAACTATTTTATTTTTGGCAAGATCATGCATAGTTTTTTTTTTTTCTTTTTTAAAATTTTTATTGTGATTTGTATGAAAGTTTACAGAGCAAATTTATACAGCAGCTCATACACATTTTGTCTCGAGACAATGACTGCATTTCCCTACAATATAATAACTCTCTTTCCGCTTCCTCCCTGTAGTAACATTTTCCCTCCCATGCACTCCTACCCTGCCATCTCCCTGTGTAAACACTGCCCTTCAGTTCTCCCATCACTGATTACCCCAAGGAGTGTATCCACCTGATGTAAATATTCATCTCATATGCCTGTGGATTGTTTGGCTGGAAGCCACAGGAATCATGCATAATTTTAAGAAGTCAAATAGTTCTATAAGGTCTAAAAGGAAAACAGCAGCCCCTGCCCCCTTGCCCTATTCCCTTTCCTTAAGAAAACATACTTGTCTTTGATTTACCTTTTTTCCTCACCCTCTATATCTAAATATTAAGGAACTCTGGTGGTGCAGTGCCTAAGGCAACTGACTGCTAACCACAAGGTTGGTGGTTCAAACCCACCAGCCACCGCACAGAAGGAAGACTAGGCAATCTAATTCCATAAAGATTTACCACCTCAGAAACCCAAAGGGGATAACTATGAGTTGGAATCAGCTCCATGATGGTAGGTTTTTTGAGTATATATAAATATTAGCCATTTGTTGATTTTTTTCCTTTAAGATGATGATGATTGAGTCCTTTCCTCCTTTCCCATCCCAGCCCTACAAACGCACACACTCTCTCAGACTCCCTTTGCCAATACTGTTATATTGTAGTAATGGTTAGATCAATACCTTAGTATGAACCAAGCTATGTTGTAAACTGTGATTATTTGCCCTTTCCTGGAGTGTTTTTTTTTTTTTTTTTTTTAAGAGACAGGTACAGTTTTCTATGTATCATTCATACAACTCTAAACACTCCACACATTGTCTGTCTCTCAATACATTCAAATAGGAAAGTGATTAAAAAAAAAAAAAAAAAAAAAAAAGTAATGAAGAAAGCCAATTCTTTTGTTTTTTTTTTTTTTTTTTTTTTTTGGATAGGGGGACATAATCTGCTTTCTAAGACCCAAAAATTAATTTCAAAGAAACATATCCCAATTCCACTTGA